TATATATATATATATATATCATTAAATTGATCCAGATCAAAAGTAATTTAATTTATTATCGAACCGAACGTCACCTCTGTCGATAATTGAGCGGTCATAGTAAATGGACGGTTATTAATGAGCGTTAATCCTATCCATTTTAGTTCGCTAATTATCTTATATAACTTTTCATCAAAATAAAATTTTTCTTTAAAATATGTCTTTTGTTAATATAAAATCGAAATAGGACGATAAAAATCGTAGTATTATTTCTTGAAATCTAATTTCGTCCTTATGAGAGAAACCTTCGATACGTACCTCTACGAAAAAGAACGTTCGATTGGACTCATGACTCGCAAGTTATAGTAAATGGGGTCGCGAAAAGTTACACGTGTCCTTCTCTTGTTGTTCTTCTTCTTTCTCCTCTTTATATTCTTAGTCTTCTATTTCTACTTCAACTTCTATTCTACTTCTACTTCTTCCTCCTCCTCTTCTTCTTCATACTAAGACCTTGGCCTGATTTTGCATCCACGAATTTAGCAAAAAAGAAGAAGAAGATTTTCCATAATAGTTTTGATTCTATAATATATTTTTATGTGACTTTTTTATTGTAAATTGTATGATCTTTGTCAGTTGCGTAAAAAAGTTTTACGTGTCGTTACACCGGATAGCCATCGAAGAATTATACAACAATTAATTTGACGTTTATTCTATCTAATGACAAGTAATACAAGAAAAAAGAAAGAAAGTAAGTTAGAGGGGGTGGAAAAGGAGGGAATTGGAGAATCGAAGAAAAGAGGAGTTTACGAACGACTTTTCCAGTTCCTTCGTCTATTAGTGGCTCCATTAGAGGCGTACTTTCGAACGGTCGTAGAGCTCTTAAGTGACCCTCTATGCAACTATTAAAAAGATATAATTAGAACGACTGGATATATCTATGTGCTACACCGATGATGTGTCACAAACTGCTTGGCTTTAAGTACCAGGATGCATTCTTGTTGTAAAATGCATTATATATTTCTGCTAAGGTATCTTCTCGATTATCGTAGTACTCATTAAACTTATAAAGTTTATACCCCTATTTTATTAGTAATCATTTAGAATTTCATAGAAAATTCTGATTAATTAGTGTACTCGTATAATAGATATACAGAGAGTCATCTTTAATTGAATTATCTAAGTTAATCTCTAAATTGCACGTAGTCATGAATTAGAAAGTTATTAATATTTAACGTAGTTTAACACCCAATGTAAAATACTTGTAACGAATTAGATTTTCGTTAACTTTTGTCGAACATTTATGGCAACGTAATTTTCATATTATTTTTCTTTTAATATTTACTTAATAATCAATATGTTATATAAAAAATAAAAATTTATATATAAACTATATATAAAAATGTTATATATAAAATATCTTTGAAAAGGGTATAAATCAATATTTATAATTCTATTTAATATTGAATTTATATCTTAAATAACTTATATGACAGTCCCTATTGCTTCTTAATTGACGAGCGAATTTCTTTTAAAGAAGAATAAAAGTATTGGAAACGATTGAAACTCGTCGAACTCATTCAAATTTGGCGCCATGTAAGTCTTCAATGGTGTGCCGTTCTTGCGATGAAATCAAAAGGTCCTTTATTCTTGATCGATCCTGCCTCTTTACAATAGTCATCGTTAGCGGTGCTCGTCAATCTTCGTGCGTCGACGTTTTGCATTTTGTGTATCGATCGAAAGACATTTTTGCTCTGCGTAACAAGAAATGTAAATGCGTATATACTACTTGAGACGATCGTAAAACGTACGCCTCACATCCTTGAATGTATGGAAAGAGGCGTGAAAGTGGAGAGATAAAATTAATCCGTGATTATATATTCCATAAGAAAAATAACATTAGTAATACGATCACAGTTTATATTAAAATGATATTATATATGTTACCGGAACATTTCCTAGAAATTCTTGAGAATGACATGATCGCTTTTGTGTGTGTGTGAAAGCGGGGTATGTGTTGATTGTGGGGGGGGGGAAGATTTTTGCCTGATAATGTATTCTTTTCAGTATTGCCTAAACAGCATTTGGTGTTCTATAGAATGTCTAAGTATTATGTTCAATGCTTAGGAAAAGTCCGTAAAAATTCTTCTGTTTTCGTACATTGTCAAAAAACGCTTTGCATTGAGGACAATGCCGGGTTATTGCTAACATTGCTTGATTTTCCACTATTCCGGTAACATATAGATAATAATTAAAATCTATATTATACCTATATGATATAAATTAATAAATAATTGTTTAACTTTGACTCGTTTCTCTCTTTTCTAATACTATAAATATTTCTTTAAAATTTCTATCTTATAGACGAGAGAAGTTAGCAAATAGAAAGGAATAGGGAGAAAAAGGAGTTTATGTTAGTAAGTACATATATATATAAAATTATGTCATACATCCAGATAGCTCGCATATATATAAGTACACATATACAACAGAACAGTCATCAAATACTAACTTTGGACAGCTTGCGTCATCACTTGCGATGGCTGCTAGGGAACGAGGTGGTATGTGCTGTTCGATCATGAATGAATGCGTGGAAGAGAGAGTGAGTTGAAGCAAGAGAGAAAGAGAGAGTGTGTGTGCGCGCGCGCGCGCGAGCACGGCCACGCGTGTAGGATCGACAGGCCGGCATTTAAATACAATTTAAAGTGAACATAGCCGAAACGGGTTGCGGAGGTCGCGTTTTAACCGTGAACGAGCGTGAGAACGATTCTCAACTCTCGCCTTACTATTCCGTCCTTCGTTGACTCTTTTCGTGCCCTTTCGCCTGCCCCTTAGCCATTCGAACGTTTGCCCTCCTTATGATTCTATTTTATATTTGAATCAAATATATTTCGTTAGACTTTTTACATTTCTTTTTTTTTTTTCTATTAAACGGAATTACAAGTGCTTACAATATTTTCCTATTTATAACTTTTTAAAATCGTGAATGAGAATATAAACATTGTTTCCTTGTTATGGGGGTATTCGCGCGTTATAATATTATATTATAAGATAAGAAAATCAATCGAAAATTATTCCCATTTCAATAATATCGACGCTGTAAATATTTCAAATGGTTAGACGAGAAGATATCCTTGAAGACTTTTACTATTGAAATACGCAAACAATGAAACATCGTTTTTTTTTTTTTTTTTTTTTCATTAAAATTTTGTCGATCTTTTTCCATCGACAATAATTTCAAATTTAGTTGAAATGAGTGATTAATGGGTCGTTGACCAATGAGTCAACTTTTAATATTATTAACGTGTCAATAACGTGATAAAAACACGGGTAGATACTTTACAGATATTTTAATCGTACAATCTTGATATTTATTCCTCGATGCAATGAACCCTTCGTTTTTTTTTTTTCACAAATTGGAATTAAGTCATGTGACATAACGACACGGCGGATGTCGCCTATACATAGTAATTCCTTTTTTAGAATACTGCCCGTAGAACATCGAGATCACACAGCTATAAATACCAAGCCCGCGTTAACGGGGAATGCGGCAGTGTCCTCTGTATATAATGAGAGAGAAAGAGAGAGAAAGAGAGAAAGAAAAAAAACTAAATATAGAACGGTATTTATCCTGAACATGACTCTGCTAACTTTTAGATACACATAAACGCGACACACGCGTGCAAACTCGCTTTCTATGCTTTGTTTGCGCGCTTTGCGTTTGTATTTGACGAAAGCCTTCGCTTCCAGCACACACTTTCTAACGTTCTTACTCGCAAACTCTAAGACGTTCTGTCGCGATCCATTTAAAATAGTTTAGCGATTGAACACCGTGACACAAACGATTTCGATCGATGATTGTTCTCTACTTCTAGTAGTAGTTGAATTCTTGCGCCGTAGAAAATCTTCTTTATATTCGCAATTCGACGAACTGATAGTTTTTGGTGGTAACAAATAAACGGATTTGTAAATCTAAGCACGCTGGAGTGATGTATCGCTTGTGTAAAATTTCAACACATACACACGCATACATATTTACACATTTACAAGTCTTCGATCCGACTACACGCTCGACCGAGCAGGAATTTTACACTTGACAATTTCGAGGACACGTTTCTAACGTGCTTTTGCTATTAGCAAGGTCGTATAGCTTGGAGAGATAATTGTAAAACTCTTTGAAATCCATCGAGGCCGTTCGTTTTCTTTTCTCTTCTAATACTTATTTTTTCTTTTTCTTTTTCTTTTTTTTCTTCCTTTCTTTTATTCTTTTATTTATTTTTTAGCGAAGAGTAAGAAAGAATCAAAAATGACCAGGTAATATATCTTTACTGTCACATATATTTGTAATTGATATCGAGGGTACTTATCTTAAATAGTGTTGTTACATCATTGCTGCTTGAATCATGTTTGTTATCGATATCGTTATTAAACATCTCTATTTTATCGAGTTATTACTACCCACGCTTATTGGATTATCATGAACATTGACTCTTCACTAAGAGATTGTAGTATTTCTACTATATTTATCACTTATACCTATACATAAAAAACAAAAAAAATATAAATGTCCATGATTTTCATAAAATTTTGAATAATGACGAATTTGATGTCATTCGTTTGCGATTTTGTCATTGGCCACATTGACAATTAAACAATATCAATCAAAATTAATTTACCAACTTGTTTGATTAATTCGCAAATTTAATCATCTATCATAAATTGTTATTTGTTGTATTGATCGTCGAAAATACTAGGTAGGATGAAATAATTCGGAATATTTAATGAAGAAAAGGAGAGTAAAAAAATACCGTCGTGATTACGTAGATTTAAAATTCATTAATATTTAAAAGATTTTATAATAGACCTATAGAATCTTCATTAATGGATTATATTTCTTTAATAAAAGAGTGATTAACCATATGAGTTTCTTATTTTTCAAAATTCTTACAGGAAATTCTTAATAAGCGGTTAAATCAAAGAGTCGACGCTATGATGCAAAATGGTCTGATCAAGGAGTTACTCGAATTTCATCGTAAATACAACGAAGATAGGATTAAGGCCAATTTGTGAGTACACGAATTAATAAATATAACATTTTATATTGAATGATAGACAATAAACAATGACGAGATTCTAATTCATTGTATAATTAGGAAATTGGCAAATTGTTTTGAGATTTTTTGATAATATTCATGAACATTTAAAGCCAATACGTATAAAGCATCCAGATGAAAATTATTTACGTTTATACATTAAAATATATATTATGAAAAGTTTGTTTTTTCCGATTGCTCATCGATACTTTTAATATTAGATATTCGAACAAATCCTTTTCATAATAATTATTTTTGAAGAATAGCAACGGTTAGAATGGACTGCGGTAGAGAAGAGGCTCTTTTAAAGGCCTTCGAGTGTGTCGGGACTTAATTATCGTTCGTGCGCGGTCGAATAACCTCGGTCACGATAACATGCCCGCATATGCGAATGATTTCTTTGATCGAACCGGTCATGCTAGTTGGTGCATCGTTAAGACACGTGCTCTTTTTTCCAACTTTTAGTATAGTCACACATACATGTCTACATTATATACAAGAGACAAAATTTCAAAAAGTTGCGGAAAAGAATTAGAGACAGGATTCCTTGAAACGTTACGTTAATGTACTCCTTTTTAACGACAAACACATTTTATTACTTGGAAGCGACATTAAAAAGTTAGAATGACATAGATTATTCTTAATAACGCTAATCCAAGAAGACTGGCTTCATTCTCTAATTTTATTTCATACGAAAATAGACGAAGAGATCAAATTTACTTCATATGTTTTAGATTTAAAAATTGTGTTATCGTATTATAAATATATTTTTTATTTTTATTTTAAAGAGCACATATATATACAAAATGAGGTATTTAACTATACATTTTTATAGACTTAGAAAAAAGTGTTTCGAAATTCGATAATAATTATGAGTTTTGCGGTGATATTTCTATCAAAATCCAATAAATTCTAAACAACCTGTTACGATGCCAACACGAAGCTTTTAAAAGCACCCGGTGTGTTCGACCGTTCTAACGACACTCCGTTAACTATTATTAACATTTTAGAAAGTTGACAGCGTGTATCTATTTTACAAGCCATGTTTGTGCGTTACATTCTAACGCATGTTACGAAAAAACTTCAGCTTCCTATACGTCTATTAAACTTTTTTCGTATTTTTTTTTTTTTTTTTTTCGTTTAATACACCGCGTGTTCGCTAAGTATGATAAATCGATAGATACGGAAGTTACTGTAAAATAGTTATTTTAAAACTACTGTTATTTATTTATTTACTTTATATCGCGTATTAAAATGCAAAGATATTATTTTAATTTACGATATTATAGAAATTATTTTTAAATCCTCTTATATTGTGCAATAAATTAAAGATGAACTTACTCATTTTACATTATTTTATATTACATTTGATTACATAATTATTACTTAAATTGTTTTTATTTCAATTGGGATTTAGTTTGTAAATATTTTTAATAAAATCCATCTAGTGTGTGTAGGTATTTCAATAGAATTAATCTTTTAATCTATCAATTATCAATAACTTTGATTTTCGATATAGATGATAATCGAATAAGTCGTACTCCAATGGGTGAGGTCATTTTCCTTCTCTTTCTTCTCTCTCTCTCTCTCTCTCTCATTCTGTATTGCACGTATACCTACAGGTATTACATACGCCTTCGTTTATGAGGCATGTTGCACGATCGAAAAGTTATTCGGAGGCGTGGGAGTTCGTGGAGGCGCGCTCGTGCAAATCATTTCTTCGAAGTCACGAGAGCGTGCCACTTGGCGTACCGACGAGGGGAGCACGTGAGCTGCGATTTGTATACGACCGACGTTAGTGCTGCTTCGTGAATGGAGAAAGAAAAAGGGAGAAAGAGAGACGGAGACTCCTCACCTTACTCATTTCCGGAAATTGCGAGCGTACGCTAGCAACCGGATGTCGGACAGAAAATAAAGGAGGTAGGCGTTCGCGAAGAATGGTTACTATTACTACTGCTTCTACTACTACTACTACTACTACTACTACTACTACTACTATTAAAACACTTTTTCAATATCATGCGTAAAAATTATACGACTTTTGTTAATGGAGATACGTGAAAGATAAAACAATTCATTGATTCGCTCTTATCTATTTATCAATGATATTAATTGTTAAATTAAGTTATTCATATCTTATATTTATTTATTATGAAATAAATACTTACAGTATTGTATTTTTTATTTTATTTTATACTAAAATGATTTGATAGTTTTAGTTTGAAACTTGTTTTATTTTATATTATTCTATGTATAGTCAACAGGATAGTAACGTTGGATTATTAGTTTTCGATCGATCATTGAAAGTTAAGTAACGTAGGCATGGTAGTAAGAGATGGATGGGTGGTGACCCTTCCGGAAAAACAAAAAACAAAAGACCCGTATGTTGTTGATTTCAGAAAGGTGGTTAGAAAACTCGACCTTTTTGATAGTATTGAATAAGCGTGAGAAGGTGTTAGTAGAGAAGTGACTCGACTCGTAAAAGGGAGAGTAAAAAGATAAGATTATATATTATTTTACATAATTTTTAATTTCCTTTTATTCTCGTTTTTATTAATTGATCGAGTCGATTTCTGAAATGTTTCTTGTGAATATTTTCTTCTAAAGTATAATAGATCAAATAGAATCTAATGAAAATGTGTAATACTACCTACAAGATATTTTTATTCTATTAATATAATTTGTTCAGTAAATAGAACGAGCTAAAAAGTGAGAAAGAGAGAACAAATAAGAGAGGTAATTTGAATAAAAAAATATAGGAAATACTCGACTCGTGCTTGGCCTCGTAAACAATCAAGGTGTACCACTGGAAAGATCAATAATATTTATTTTACCCTTTGCGTTGTTGGCTCGCTTAGAAAATCGTTTGCATTATGAGAAATTTATTGCACTCGTTTTCTGCATACTCGCTGCAAAGAAAGTTTCTTTTATGTCGTTTTGTACCGGACACCTTTCTTTTTTTCTCCTTTGTTTGTTAGCAGATACAAGTGGTTGATAAAAATTAAATTAACAAGCGCGCGCGCGCACCCGTTTTATATGGGTGCGTATAGATATACTTGTGTGCATATACTAACACAATAAAAGATATTCGCACGATACCGTCTACATGGTGTTTCCGAGAAATTATACTTCTCTTAACGAGTTAGAATTACTTTATTTTCTATTGTGTTCTTCAGAGATTGTTCAAAAAATGAAATTTACGTCAAGGTATTATTGTTTATAATCATACTAAAAGATATTTTTTTAAATACTTTTCATTGTCAATTTCATCGTGAAACAACGATCTAAATTAATATTTATGTTAGTAAAAAATGTTCTGTAAAAATACATCGAGATTACATTCCATTTAATTTAAAGAAAATTACAAACTTATTATCTTTTTTCTATTTGTAAAGATATTTAAAATATGCCTTATTACGTGCATTTTGTAATTATTCGAAAATAAGTATATTTAAGTAAAATATGTCAATATTTAAATGTGATTTATAATATTACAATATCTTTATATTTGAAAACTTATTTCTGTAATATTACTGCTAAGAAAAAGAATTTGTTATATTTTCATAAAACACTTAGTTTTTATAATATTTCGGGAATTCGATTATTTAAATCGACGAAATAGTAAAGATAAAAAACTGATTCGTTTATTTACGATTGAGAAATGTAAGGAAAGATCGGTGTTCTGGTAGCATGGTGTTCACACCGCGTCATCGAATTCCACGAGAATCAGATAACAACGCGAACGTCTCACTTGTCGTTCCTACAATTTTTCGTGAACCTTGCAGCACGAGTGAAGTACCTACTAACGAATACCAAGAAGATACTTCTACGAAAAATATACGATATTTCATTTTTTAAACGATGCTTTTCTCACTTTGTGAATGGAAAAGAAGAACAATGTCTACATTGTGTTTGAACTTCCACATTTAGTTTTACATAGTCTCGCTATTCAACAGCTCGTTGATTCATCACACACAAGTTAACATTGTATGAATCAATATGAATGTTAAATATTTATTATCTTTTCTTTTCATTTTTCATAAAAGCCAAATAACGTATAAAATCAATCAGTATCTGCGCTTTAATAAAATCGTAACTTTTGACACACAAATTCGTTGACAAATCTAATATATGTACATATTTGAAATAAAATTAGTAAAGTCAAGTATCCGCATGACATGTTTTGAATTGGTAACTTCTCCGATAATAAGAACCACATATAATACTTTCTATACATTTTTGAATGCTTCAGAGTCACATGAAATATAACCGTAGGAGTCACTTCTAACAGCAATTTGAAAATACAATGTATTGGGTTGACATAGTTACGTATGTCATACATGTATTAATTCATGAATCGAAGATTCTATTTTTAAAATTATCATCCTATTTATTTCTCAAAATAAAAGAAAAAAACATGATCACTGATCGGTCAAAGGTCATACAAAAATTCTACATTCTCTCTTGAGTTTTCTTATCTCGCAGATAAAAGTAAGATCTATTTTTATGGTTAACTCTCCGATAAAATTCATGAATCGTTGGAGCAAATCTGTGTGACTCTGTTTTGAATCCGATTAATAACACAAGGAGTGTTCTAGTTGGCAATGTCCAATCCCATTCTGAGGAAACGAAGAATCAACTTAAGCAGATCTAATGCTTAACTTTAAGTGAATTAAGAATAGCCTTGTATAGGTTATTGTGATAGATATCGAGTTGATCTAATGCAATACCTTATGCCATAAGAATTTAAAATAAGAAAAAGAAAAAAGGAGATACAATGTATAATCGTCGATAACCGATCAGAAAAATCTAGGCCGACTATTTTTATTATTCTCTCTTTCCCTATTTTTTTTTCTTTTACTTTCTCACTGTTCATTCAGAGTACCGAATGAGACTCTTTGTTATTAGGCGAGCAATAATAAGAACGGTAAAGCAGAGCAATGCAAATAGTCGGGGCCCCAACTGCGAGTTCG